AAAGAATGGAGATTTGTGCTAGCAATCTTTTGAATAATTGCACAAAATAGTTTAGATTATTTTAAAATACATTTAGTATTTTTATATTATGCATATTTTAAAAAAATTGTCTTCACCATCTTCTCAATTTGTTACACAAAATTCTGTTAGTGTAAATAAAGGTGATATTACTACCAAAGGTCATGGATTTTAACAAAGGTCATTGTGTAGCTACTTAGAAACTGAATAATGCATTAAGCCTTTAGTCTGGTCTGTACGTAGCTTAGGTTAAAGCTAAAAAGATGACCTTTGCTAACAATCCTGACACCTGTATTTGTTCTGTATCATGAAAATTTGGCTGTAACTCTCTAACCTACTCAGCAGAAAGACATAGAAGATTTATCATTAATGTTAGAGTTAAAATCTTCAAAATATTACAGAAACTTTTCTGAACATTTAAATTCTTATTCCATCGGGACCAGATCATGCTGTAACACAGCATCCTACACAGTGGGGTCTCTCAGTTTGTGAACAAAGAAGCTATCTTGGAAAAAAATGTGCTGTTGGATGTAAGCTTATTTGAGGAAACTGCAGATAGTAGGAAGGGAGTTCATTCTTGGCCATCATCTCTGTGCCTAAGGCCAGACCCAGGGGGAATCAGAAGAGCTGGGCACTGGGGTTGGGCTCCTGGAATGGATTTTAGCCTGAGTACCCTTCAGATCATGGTCCTTCCACCTAACTCCAGTTTAAAAGCTACACATGCCATCTAAATTAATCATTAAGACTCTCTCTCTAATCAGTGCAGAAAGCAAATGCTTCTAGATAGTGAATCACCCATCTTGTTTAAATACTGGTCTTTGAAAAGAAAGGCGTTACCTCTGGAAGTGTTCTCTGCTGACCAGTAGAAAAAGTCTAGAAAATTAGCTTAGTTGTGACTACTGTTTAGGTGGCTGCAGTTAACAGAGGCTAATCTTGTTCCATGTATCAAATACATAATAATCCCTAAGTGAGATAGATAGCTATTTTACAAAAAAACACCATTTGCAGCTAGAAAGACAGCAAAATCGCTGTGCCGGCTATCCCAAGCCATGTAGCCAGATTGTTTTTCTAGCACATCTGTCCAAGCCACCTGGTGAAGAAACAGCTGTGAGCTGTCTGAAGGGTGTGCCAGAGATCCTGCTTTCCAGGGACTCTACCTCTGTAGTCCCTATTCAGACCTTTCCACTGAAACCAATAGAAATTATGGCAAAGGACTATAAAATCAACCCCCATCTGTTAGTGGAAGCAGAGTCCTTCTATGAATTTCTGTAAGACCATTAGGTGACGGCTAAATGCAGGTATTGCCACCGGCGGCTTTCTGAAGAGTTCTTTGCAGACCAGCTATTCTGCAACATGAGGAAAAAGAGACATTAGCCTATTATATCGCAATGAAGAGGAATAAAATTACAACATTTCACTGTGCACTGATATACTTTATTTGGGGCAGAAGCGTGCAGTTCGCCTAACACAAAAACACGAGCCAAAAAGTTACCAATATTTGCAAAATGCTCCTTTTTTTACTCTCTTCCAATACATTCGTAATTTGAATCAAACTGCTGCAGATAAAATGAGATACAAAGGCAGAATCTGAAAGATCTCACTCACATGCCACCTTCCAGCTGTTATGAAAATCTAGGCTGTTACTGTTCTTGTCCTGGTCACCTCAGCATAGCCCCATTCCTTCCTAGGGAAATCTGTAACCAAAGCCATTGCATTTCAGTAAGCAGACAGTATAACAGCTCAATCAACGTCTCTAACAGAGGACTTGGAGGCACTTGCACATGGACTGAGAGATGCCCTGAACATTTCTGTGCTACAGGATTTCACATAAAGGTTGCTCTAACTTTCCCCCTGCTCAAACTTCAGGTTAACACAGGGGGAAAAACGCTGCTGTTTCTCTGCGTTAATGATGACGCCTTACCTAACAGGACAAACCCCAAACTACAGCCAATACTGACTGCATCGACTGGGCCTAGGTTTAAAAGTAAGTAAGTTGAATAATACTTCAAGCCTTTATGTTCTTCCATTTCCAGTTAGCTGGAAGAAGAGTAAACCAGGCTATTTAAAAGCATTGTCAACCGAAAGGTGACCTGTTCTTGAATCTGACCTTTTAGCTCAGCTTCATGGGTGGGTTTGGCTCAAAGCATTCATTACGCCTGGGTTGCCAAATTCAAAGAAACAGGTGGAGTTAGACTATAAGATGTTTACCCTTTACTGGAATTCCTTTACTCTTGCCTGAGGCTCTACTTTGGTGGCCTTCAAAGTTAAAACTGCTACTCTGTTCTTGCCTGAAACATTTTGTTCTTACGTTTCTCTCCTGTCAACAGGAATTAGAGGAACCTGAAATGTTGTCGCTGTCTAAATAACAGAGCTGAAAGTAATTCCATGTAGCATTGCTGTCTGCTAGTGTTGTGTGAAAGATGGGCAAGAACGAGGAATACACACCAGCACCCTTAGCAGACACCCTTTGTGGAGCCCCCTGCACCACCTACATGAGGAGAAGGGTCTAGCTGATGGATCTAACCACAGGGCCAAAGTGTAAATGGCCACAGCTGGTACATACAACCAACCCATTTCAAAGGCATACAGGAAGGAGACTCAGAAAAACGGGGGATAGATGTGTTCCTTTTGTGTTTGGGTTTGGGTTTGGTTTTTGTGTGTGTGTGTGTGTGTGTAAGAATAAGTTGTGTTTATATTAGAGGGACGCGTGCTCCATGGTATGGCCCACCATCCATGTCCCCTGGCTGTCCCCATCCGGAGACATCCTAGACCACACTGCAGCTGCCTTCTGGCCTGTGCTCAGTTGTTTAGTTCCCTTGGAAACCAAACACACATTTACACTGTTACTAAAAGCAACAAGTATAATAACATTTATTTTTTAAATGGTACCAAACCATATATTTTCATTTTATTGTTGGAAGGGGTATTACATAACATATTTTTCCATTTTACATATTTCTACAGCAAACCTTATTTTCTAGGTTTTTATCATTATTTTAAAAAGCAGTATAAGATGAGGATGTCCACATCTCTTAAGTTTAATTCCAGACATTTCCTCTCTAAACCAAAATATTCTCATTCTTCGTTGTGATAAATCCCACTTGTGATTAATTATCATATTTGTACACACATTTTTTAACATTAATCTAAATGCTGAAGGAACTATATTCCCAGTGTAGAGTCCAAAATATAATAAATAATACATAATTAAAAAATCTGGCATACTTATAATTTAAAATAAAGGAATCACAAGTCACTAAAAGAGCATTTCACTCAGCTTTTATGTAATTTTAGAAATTCTCTTTTCTCACCCTAGATTTGGGCAATGATCAGAGATCACTTGGTGTTCTGGAAGAAGTTGGTACCATCCTCTCAGCTGAAAGTTGAAGCATTTTCAAGAATGTCACAGGAAATTTTAAATGACACAGCAGCAAATGGTATTAGATTCTGATGTTATCAAAGAAAGAGTAAGTGGTAATTAGGCTGATTGGAGTGATGCCTGAAAATGGTGTGGAATCTGTAAGCACTCAAAGCAAACAAAGACCCCACTGGGAAATGTTTTGGAGAACACAACACAGAATGCTGTTCGTGTCTTCTGTTGTATTCAATTTTATATGCTTGAAACCAATTTATTATGATTTACTAAAAGCAGGTGACTGGAATGCTCTGAGGAGAATATTCTGTTATTCCTTCTTTTGTCTAAAGGAACATTAACAATATGCTGTACATTTAAAAACAAAACAAAACAAAACAAACAAATCACAATTTTCTATCTCTTGAAACAAATATGAATAACAAATTAGGTTTCATTAACGATGCCCTTCCCCTTTAATAAATACATGTGGCTATGAGTGATTTATAGTATAAATCAGATATGGTGCTGATGTGGGAAAACTCCCAAATCTTTGTTCTTCTGTCTTAGCAGGCTCTTGAAAAGTGTCATTGTTACTTGTTTTCGTTCAAAAATCGAAAGCGCCCTAACAAAGCACTGATAGAAGTTTGCTTTGCTAGTGCATACTGGATGAGACCATTCTCCTTACCTAGCATGAACTCTCCCTCACTTCTGTGAAAGACAGGAGGTCAGCTGGCATGCAGGCTCTGCAGAAGAAGCTTGTTTAGAAAATTTTGTACGTTACCGTCTTCTGAGGATCACCTCGGAGACCCGCAACAGCAAGAATCCAAAAGATCTTGGCTAAAACTGACAGTGTGAAAGACTTAGTGCAGTAGGCAGCAAGCAAGTGGAAGCAGGCATCAGTATTTTCCTTCTAGGTACCCACCTGTAATTTTCCTTCATTTGCTCTTTTCAGCCAGCATTTTGTCACTGGAATAATAATGGACTCATCCCATAGCTTTATAAGAGCAAACAGATGCCACTGATACTTTCTATTTCAAAATAAGAAGTTGTTACTCTTCTCTCTAATTTAGTTCAATCTTCTTCCATATTCCACAAAAGTTTCCTGAAGAGTTGTTCTTAACTTTCATTAAAACTATTAAAAAGTTCTTAATAATTCAGTCTCATTTTCTCATCCAAATTAGACTATGGATGAAGGATTTAAGGAAGGGTGTGCCAAACACTGAGGACTGTTGGTATTCCAAATCAATTAGAACAGTTAGTGCCTAATTAAGTGCTAATTTCTGCCCTGTACAATCTCATAGAGAGTAGAAATTTGGCTCAGGCCAGTTGGAAAACAAAATTTTAGCTATTAACATGTGAAAATATCTACTACTTTTATGCATACAAAACCTACTTTTGTTTCATACGAGTCGAGTGTAGTGTAAAACAAGGCTAAACTCTTATCCTGGTTTGGTTGGCTTCCTCTTACAGTTTCAAAAGTTTCACAAAGATTTGTTTTCCTGTATCTTCAGAAGTCACAGAATATGCTAAAGACAACCTGTCTGGCAGCCAATTTTCCATGTTTCCTTCAAAGGGCAGACTTAAATGTCTTCTGCAACAGCAGAGTTGCGAATCTCACAGTATCTTTATTCCCTGCTTCACAGAATAAATAGAAATTTTAGCTAGAGCTGAATAAACCAGGAACTGGCAGCAGCTATTTGAGCCAGGCTTTCAAAGGAGAGATCTTCCTAACTTACCTGCGTGCTACAGCAAACACAAACATCTTTCTTGTCCATGCAGGAAATGTATCTTAAATCCCAAACAGAAGTAATGTTAAATTTTGGAGACTTGACCTCCACAAAGACCAGTCAGTCATCTCTGACGTAGCACATGGGAACGTTCGAATTGCCACACCTGATTTGCATTCTTGTCACATACACGCAAAACCAAGTCCTTCTCATCTTCACTCTTCGTTGCCTCCATGCATTTGCCAGAAAGGACATGGACAATTATTCCATTCTACAAGGTGAAAGAAGAATGGAAAGAAAGAACAAATTAAAAATAAGGGATTTCCAGTAAAAGCTAGGCCATGTTTCTGAAACTTTATACGTACAATAGCTCACCAGTAATGACTAGTTGTTCAAAATTTTTTAAGTATTGCTCTAAACATAATGACTAGGTTTAGCTTTGAGCCCAGGGCATGGTGAGTATGCATACCTCCTTTCAAAGCTGACAAGAGTGGTAGGTGCAGAATTCACTAAATCTCTTTTCCGCCACTGTTTGTTTCCTCTGGTACAGGTTGTCATCAGCATCAACTACAGTACTACAGGCCACAGTATTTCAAAAGGACCAGTGCTTACCTTACAAATCAAAACAAATTACAGTAGGAAGAGTACCAGAGGATTGTGGCATCCCTCCATTTATAGGAACTGCTATTTTCCCAGGCTGTCCTAGAGCATGACATTTTTCAGTCTTGTAGTTCCTGCTCTGCTGGGTGAAGTCCACTGAATAACACTAAATTCCTCTAATAGGAAGTTTGCTCTCCTCTAACAATGCAGGAGGAATTTTTAAGTCTCCCCTACACCCAAAGGGTTCTCATTTAGGATGGTTCAGGATTCCAGGACCCTTCCTCTATCCAAAAGAAGTGGGCAAGGATTTGCCCTGCTTTTATTTTCACAACCACTGATTCTGATTCTACTCCTATAAGGCAAATAAGACAAACAGTTAAAGCCAGGACATAAGAATTTAGGTAGGATTCCTGTAATTTGTATTTTTAAACCAAATTAATTTCACATAGACAGTGTAAATGAGCAAGACTCATCCTAAATTTCCTGGGTGAAAATGGTACAGAAGTGAAACTGGCTCTTCAAATACCCCATCCCTTCCCCGCACACAAATCCTGTCAGTCACCCAGTGATCCCACCGTCACTGACAGCTGCCCTCCCCTCATGGCAGAGTCACTACTGACCTCCTGGACATCCCAGCGCTGGTGGCTGTTGTCTGTCTCCTTTGTACAGTTTTGAGGGATAACCTTCCCGTGTCTGACATCAAAGCAAAACAGCGGAGCAGAACCAAGCCGGATTTCCTTCATGCTGTTATATTCAAAGTGCTGGAAAAGGGAGGGTTTGTTTGAACAACGAAGGAAGGACATCCAAATTCATTTTTAAATGCTAATTCCAAAAATAATTTCCTGTACATGTTTGTTAAGATGCAACCCAAACATGAGCGATGGAGACCCAACAACCTTGACCCTGCAAAGCAATCCCTCCCGCTAGCTAATGCTGGCATAACTATTTACCTAAGGAAAAGCTTTGTGGACTGTAATTATGAATAAAGTAAACCCATCCTATAATAAAATTTTCTAGTTTAATAAATATTTGAACAGAAGGGTGTTTCTGACAGTGTCCACACACATTGCAGTTAGAAATGTGCCTGCAGCTCACCCTGAGCTCAGTGTGAGCAGCAAAACTTGCTTGGGACTTAGAGTAAATATCTGCAGTTGGTCTGTATTGGTTTGGCTTCTCTTTATGCATGAACTTGCTAATCTAATGCGAGCTTGGGAGTCTACCTGAATTTCTTTCCTGTCTCTGACTGCTGTTTAGGCATTAAACTGCATTTTTAGGCACCAGTGGGGAAACCCATTCCCGTTATTCTAGAATTGTTATGTATTTTTTACTCCCAGGCTTCTGTTCTCCAGACAGTACCAAAAATACTAACCAAGACGCACTTAGTGATGTCTGCTGGAGCAAAGTGTGGGGATTTGGCCTCAGTGACATATAGCATGTTGCGCTTTTTCAAATGACAGCTGCCAAAGAATGGGCATCATTGCCTTAGCACATGCCTGATTTTGAACACAGCAGTATTTCCACTAATGCCAACCCAGCCATTTACACATTGAGGTGACTGTTTTCTGGATGTATCCCTCGAGCTGATACGGTGCCTATATACGTCAAGTATACAGTACCTGGGTGAGACTGTCACTGCAAGGGGAGAGTTCGATAGAGCCTTCTGCAATGGCCCTTCCAGGTTTGTAATCCGCACAGAAGCCAACACCAGTATTGTAAAGCTGTAAGTAAAGGTTTATACTGAAATAAAGCACAATCAGATACAAACAAAATATCTTTCAGCTGCCTTTTTTTGTGATTGTATTCCTTTCTGATATATGTTTTAGTCACAATTCAGGCAATATTAGATCTTGCATACTGATCTGATATAAAAGGCAGAGTCTCACCAAAGGTCAGTGTTACCCAGTCCGTTCTGTTTAAGTTAGAGATACCCACTTCTGGTTTTGACTATGATGATAGTTAAAAGAAATCTGTCAAAACTTTTATGCTAATGGAAAATTGCACTTCAACTGGACACCATATGCAGAAAACCCCAAGATATTCCGGAAGAAAAAAACATGTAACAATTCCTGTGATCCACACTCAGTTTTTACACTCTTCTCAAGCAAACTTTTATAATAAAAACTAGATGAAATAGTAAAAGGACAAAGTAAAATTGGCTACAGATATCAGAGTGTGACTTAATTAGTGGGCCTTGTTGCCTTGTTAGGGGCAAATCCCTTCCATTAAGGCTGCCTGGATATTTTAATGGATGATAATTATCACCTTTGGTGTTTAAAAACACCCAAACTTTGAGAAGATGACCTCCTGTACACAGTCTGCGAAAGACCTGCTATTGCTACCACCTCTACCTTTGGGGGAAGTGCAGGACCGAAGAAATGCTTTTTGCTCTTCGTGCACATGGGTCAGCACAGAGATGTTTCAGCTGCTGTTGTGGTTGCTGCCTGCATGAGGCAACACAATTCTTTCCTTTACTAATGGCACCTAACGAACCTAAGGTTAGGATTCTCTGAGCTGTAACACTGAACGGAGTCAGACAATCTGGGTTCAGCTCCTAGCTGGCTTTCGACATTTATGTGAGAATTCGGACCAGCTGCTGTCTCCTCTGTGCTTTCATTTCTCCTTCCATCCTCGTTGCATTGTCTGTTTGGACAATAAACTTTTCAAAGCAGGAACAGCCTCTTACTGTATGCTCCCTGAGTACTAGTACATGGAAGCGATACTGGGGTCTTTGAACAATGCAAAACCACTAATCATTCCAGTGTGTTTTCTCTCACCTTGCCTGAGAATCTTGGTGTGTCTTCAGGTTGGGAGAGCTCAGGGTACACATTTGATATAAACCAATGGAAATCTCTACAGCCCAGTCTCTTTTGCAGCTGAAGGCGCTCACTGCAGTCTGGCTTCTCTGCCTTCATGGAGAAAGCATGGGGGGAACAAGGTTACCAGTGTATTTGTTTTGGAGATGCTGGAAATAAAAATGACTACATAGGAATTATTTCTACTACCTCGTCTATCCTGCATGTTATAGATATTGATATGTATCTCTCATCAGTACGTAAAGGGGGAAGGACCAGCTATAGCCTTCCTCCAACTTTGTGCTAAAACAGCATTTAGTCTGGCACTGTGACAGAAGTAAATGTTTCAGAAGTTGCATACACTGTGAAAACAAGTATTTCCTCTAAAAATGATGATTATCTTGCAAGATAAGTCACTCTTTGTCATCTTTTTAATTAAAAAGTCCAGGCCAATTCTGATACTTGTTACACTGAAATCAGTGGGATTCTATCAGATTGTCATTCAGTAGAGAATTTGCCCCACTGATTAAAATTCAATTTCCTGGCTTTTAACAGCCCAAATTACCCAGTTATTGTTAGTCCTCCATGATCAGAGGATGTAAGTGATGACAAAGTTTAGCCCAAAATAGAGTCTATCACATTATTATCTGACAGTTACTAAATCTAGTAAGTGCATGTGGTTTGCAGCTATAAAGGCATAAAACCTTTCCTATGAGTTATGAGTTTTGTTGAATTATATACACATCATATCAACTCTCACCCTTCCTGGTAGCAACTCTGTTCTGAAAAAAGACAAGTGCCTTCAACCCTTGGTGCAGCTACGGGCACCTGCACTGCAAAGGACTGACAGTCTGAATATTTGAGGATATTTAGCACTGAAGGTGGCTAACGGGGTTCTGAAAACCTCTAAGCAGGTAAGTGTCTAATCCTTCAGTTTCAAAACCACACAAAACACTTTTCTAAATCTCTCAGTGCCCAAATACTAAAAATATCTCACCACCCTTAAGAGTCTCTCTCCTCTTTCTTGTCAGCAGTTGCTCTCCCCCTTCACATTTCTACTTTTTAAAAATGCAGTTTTGGATTCCAGGAAACTGATCTGGATTCCTAAGCCAGAAATTAAAATTGGTAACATAAGCAAAGAATTGCCCATAAATAACTTTTCCTCAGACCAGCTATTTCTCTGCATCCATAAGAAAGAAAAAAGGACTTTGCAACATGGCTGGAAAACACTGACAAATGAAGGGCCTTGGAAATCAAGCGAGAGGTATCAGTTTGTAAAGACAGAGCTCAGTCATGCCACATGGCACTGTTAGCCAGCCCCTGTCAGCTGCACAGGCAAAGCTCAACAGTGGCAATACGTTAAAGAGAACCTTACAGTTTAGTATCAGTCTTAGATTCAACAAGCATAACAACAAAGTTCAGCCATTCAGCACCACACAAACCTGTCCCCGAGAGGTTTTCTTGGAAGAGGGAAAAAGAGAAGTAAAATGCTTCCTCTAAAAAGAGAGGTTTCTCATGAGACTGCTTTGGCTGAAGAAGGCAATGGCAGTAAATGTCATTTTGTCATACTAGTTACAGTCTGCATTTGATGCCGAATAAATGGTGTAAATAATGTAAAGAAAGTTATTATCCCTGCAAACCAAACTGAAAGGAAACTGTGCTTGTAAATTAAATAAACAAACCACACAAGAAAAGGAGAAAAAGAGACGGTGGCTGAAATAGTGAAGACCCTAATTCATCTGCATTAATGCTAACACCACGTGCATCCTGTGCAGGATGCGATTCAGACCATAAAACGGGAAGACTTATAAAGCAACCTAAATGGGGGTCACTAGTTATTTTCTGCAGTGGGCAACATTGGCGGTCAAGGCTCACAGAGATTTTTGTTAGTGGCCAATAGGTGTCTCTGCTCAGCCTCTGGGTGCCATAAATCCCTGCAGGGCCCATCTGCAGCTGAGCGGCAATAATGTCATTGCTTGCTTGTGTCTTTTGAATAACATCCTGCTGCACTGACATACTGAAAATATTGGCTGTGAAAGAAAGGAACAGAGAAAAGGGCCTTTTATGTTATGGTATGCTGAGCACAGAGATCGTAAAATTGATCATTCGAAGGAGCATCATTCTTAGAAGTACTAAAAGTATTCTGGCTAGAATAAACTCCCGGGCAAAAGGTCATGGTGCTTACAGCTAGTAAACTGTATCATTGGTGGCTGGAGGTTTTAGTACAGAAAATTGCTTCTGACTTGACAAGAAAGACCTTCAGGTAATTATTAAAAGATTAAGGACCTAACTGCCCATCTTAAAAAGACTTGGGCCCTCCTTTCAATTACATGGCTGTAACCCTTGGGAGTCAATTGGCAAACTTCTGGCCAGTGGAGTTCAAACCTACAACATCAACAAGGAGGGAGAGGCTTTTAAAAAAAGGTTAAAATAGTATAAAAAAAGAAATGTGACAGTCTCAGACTAGGATTAGCACAGCAGGCTGACTGGAGAGGCAGATCCACCCATGGAGTGTAAGGAGGTCAGACTAGGTGACAGGAGAGAAGCCACGCCAATGCACAGCCCTTTTCCTCTCCCCACTACAATGCAGCTCCTGCTGGATCTGGCTTTCTTAGATGATGGCCAGCAGTGCAATGGCTGAGGCATGCAGAACTGAATGGGAAACTTTGCACAGGCACCTACCCATGCTCTGCCTAACTGTTTACAGTGAATCTTTCTTCTTAAAAGCGTGGCATTGTTAAACGAACAAGACGAATGATAGTTTTCATTCACAAGTGCTCACAAGTTTGTCCAGTGCCTTGTAGGAGAGGATATCATTACAAGAAAAGGTATTGGAGCCAGAGAATTCCTGAGAACTGCAGCAGCATTAACAAATTCACATTACTAACAACTTAACATTAACAACATGAACAACGTTAATGACAGCTGCATGACTCCCAATAAACAAACATCCACTGGTTTGTAATACACGGGATATACAGTCCCTTGACTGATCCTGATCTGCAATGGATTATACAGTGACTTAAAAACAAGTGTGGCCGTTCTGTAGTTGTTGGATGCTGTGTAGCCTGCAGATGGTTGAAGTGTGGCTGCGTGCCTGCCAAAAGCCTGTCTTAGCGTACAGGCTGCTGGGAATCTGAATCCCTGGAGGTCAGACTGCTGTCTGCACAGAGCTTCTGATGAAGAAGTAACTTGTAAATAGTGGCTATGTTGAGATCTGACTTTCTCATAGTTGCTTCTGGATACCTGTCAGTTCAGGAAAATATATGACTTTTTTTGTCACTATACCACTCAGATATGTTCCCTTCCATTAGGAGAGACACCACAGTTTGCCACATGCCCATGAATATTTCTGAATCTCCTCATGACTCACATGAGGAAGACCTTCAGTAGCAAAGAATGAATCCTCTAGGAAAGTCCTTTGAGCACACAGTGCTGCTAGCTTCCACTTCAGATGCACTGCAACCCTCCATGTACTACTGGTGGCAAAATAAATCACAGCTTGGTGGGCAAGCTGAAGAAGGAGTCATACTCTAAGAGATTTGATAACTTCAGCAAACAACAGCAAGGTACAAGTTTCTCTCTTTCCTTCCACTGGAAGGTTTCATAAAAAAGACTATCTATCTCCAGCACCATACACATTGAATGTTTGACTACACACAGACACCTCCACCCCTATTCCACCCCCGTCACCTACCTCAACACACAGTCCTTCCCTCAGAAACAAACAACTACATATGTCTTTACCTTGCTAATTAAGAAAGCCAATGTGTCGTGCTTGTAGAAGTTCTCTTTAAAAGAGCCCAGCCAGGTCTCTGCTATTCGGATTTTGTTCCTCACAATGGCCTCTTCATAGGAGAAAGCACGGGGAAAGTGATTTCGATAGACATGCCCAACTCGGGAGCATGGAATAATTTCTACAGAGCCACCACAGAGCCAGGTCTGAAACACAGGTGAAGGCACAAAAAGACATTACCTTATTTAGATTACCTTTATCTAAAAAGGAGAAGGTCCTTTACTATAGACTCTGCCTCAGGAAATCCTAATCTGGACATTGCTGGAAACAGCAAGAGCATTATTATGTGCTTCCTCATACACTGTTCCCCACAGATACAGAGACAGAAGATAATGGGCAAGACAGGCCTTTGATTTGACCCGGAATGGCTATTTATATGCTTTTATGTTTTTATGTGCACAGCCAGTGCAGTGTAGTGAAGAGACCTGGGGGCACACCTTCTTTTGTCTGGGAAATTAAAGACTCTATGCCCTTTGTGTTTGCAATTTTCATTGCTTTTAAATATCAGTTACTCTTTGCATTCAGCAAAAATCAATGCAAACAATTTAATATAAACAATTTGATATTAAAACTACACGTTGGCAAAGAAATAAAGCTACTCTCCCTTTGGTGCATGTTACGTGCCAAAAAAGAAGAGGCAGCTTTCAGAAGGTGCCAAAACCAGTGACTCTATCCTCAGGCGGAGAGTGATAGCCAGTGAAACTTCCTTCTCCTGACATAATGCTCCTAACTCACAGCAGCTGCATGTTCTTGTGTAGTCCTGACAGACCACAGACTGTGGGGGTAGATTTCTGGGAGTAAAGTGATATTCTCCATACCCCAAGACATTCTGCACTTAACTGCTTTTATAAATTGCTTCTTGTCTTTTCATTCAGGTTCCTTAAAAGCTCAATAGTTACCAGAGCTTCATGTTTTAATTAAGGTTCTTACCCTTATAGATAGCTCCAGATTTTCTGCTCCCCACATGGTCATGTCAGAATCGTAAGCTCCAGTGTTTTGGAAGTAATGTCGATCCACAGCCACCACTGCACCAGCTACCACAGGACTCCTGCACAGAAAACAGTTTGGAAGTGAACACCTTCAGTTTTGGATAGGGAATTATGTGAAGGATGAAAATCCTGCCATTTTCACAGAGATAGTATTGCAAAATGATTGAATACTACTCCATATAAGCTTGAATGAATTGATTATCTTATCAAAAGAAAGAACAACTGGAACTGAATTCTAAGATTTGCTTGGGGAAGGGAGTCAAGAGCTGAATTATTAAATAATGCTCAGTGCAGTGGGAAATGATACATACACCCCAAAAAACCAGACAAACAGATAACGATTAAGACATTTCTTTTAACTCTGCATGATCCATCTTTTGCTTTCCCTACAAACCTCCACCTGACCTTATCTGGTCAGGTTGTATACTGGTTGTCTCAATGTGTGGAAAATAGTTGTCATGTTGAAAGTATGACTGCACTTTAGTTAGAATGCTTACGAAAGGCCAAAAGAACTCAGTGTAAACCAAAAACCTATCCCTTCAAAAAAACATTAACCGAGCATAGGCAAGTAACCACGTCTCTCTTCTGTTAGCTGGAAGATGTCCCAAATAGTACAGTTTTGCTGCTGAGCTGAGCGGAGGCATATTGGGTGATGGACTGTTACCTGATAGGGCTGATGGAAGACTGTCGTACCTTCTCTTCATGCTCTGGCACTGGTTCCCAATGAAAATCTAGTTTCCAATCAAAAACACCCCGATGCAGGCCCACAGAGTGATAGTACTGAAAAGTCTTCCAGTCTATGACATCTATGACAGGCGAGACGACACTGTTTCTGAAAAAGACAGTATCATTTATTTTCAAAGCCAAAGCACAAATGAAGTTCACTACTCTGTTAGTGAACAGTAGTTCTCCTTTTTGACACTGTCAAGCAGAAGCACTCCTCCCGTATTTTCCCTGGTGATAGAAGCTCAGGTGCTCAGTGCGGGGGAATACTGAGCCTGCGGTAAGGAATCTAAAGATCAATAATTTATTGATAACCTGTACCTTGCATTGTCATTTAAAGCTATTCAGGACTTTGCTACGAGTTAACCATCAGAATTCTTATAAAGTTATTTCACACAGAGGCCCCAACCTCTGATGTTATAGGCTTTGCATGGATGCAAAGTTTATAGCAAAAGGTTATTTTGGGCTCACACACTTTCCTATCCTTTGATTTTCCTGTAGATATTCCACACGCTTCATGAGTTTGTCACTTCAGGCCAATGAAGAGTGCACTTATCCTGATTTTGTTCTGCTGGTTGTTTTGCAAAAACATTTGTCACCAAGGCCATAAACCAGCTTCTGTTTGTATTTTATCACAAGCTTAAAATGCTCTTGCAAATGCACTGTCCAGTGTGGAATCTACTTTTAAGAACCAGAACAGAGCCATTGTACCATAAGCAGCTGTCCTGGTTTCAGCTGAGAGAGTTAATTTTCTTCATAGTAGCTAGTATGGGGATATGTTCTGGATTTGTGCTGGAGACGGTGCTGATAATATAGAGATGTTTTTGTGCTGATAATATAGAGATGTTTTTGTTCTATGGACCTACTGTTGAGCAGCGCTTACACAGAGCCAAGGCCTTTTCTGCTTCTCACACTGCCCTGCCAGCGGGATGGCTGGGGGTGCACAAGAAGTTGGGAGGAGACACAGACAGGACAGGTGACCCAAACTGACCAAAGGGATATTCCATACCATATGACATCATGCTCAGTTTATAAGGAGCTTGGGGGAAGAGGAAGGGGGGGGGGGGTCAGCAGGGTTTGGAGCGATGGCATTTGTCTTCCCAAGTAACCGTTACGCATGACAGAGCCCTGCTTTCCTGGAGATGGCTGAACACCTGCCTGCCCACGGGAAGTGGTGAATGGATTCCTTGGTTTGCTTTGCTTTTGTGTGTGGCTTTTGCTTTACTTATTAAACTGTCTTTATCTCAACCCAGGAGTTTTCTCACTTTAACTTTTCCAATTCTCTCCCCCATCCCAATGCGGGGGAGTGAGCAAGTGGCTGCGTGGTGTTCGGCTGCCGGCTGGGGTAAAACCATGACAGCAGCAATCCTCCAATTCATTTCCAACTTGAGTTAAATTTGGATTAGTCTGAGAAGAGGTATTGGACATTTCCCCATGGCAAACATGTCACGGTATTTCAGTGTGCTTGAACATCATCTTGGAATTAACTGGTAGTTCAGAAGAGCCATCAGCGTTCCTTGTTTCCAGGTCATTGACGTATCATATTTGGAAATTTTCAGAGTATAAATGCAATGGTATTAGGGACTGCAGGAAAAAAAGTGTTGAAGAACAACATTAGCCATTTCTTCTCTGTTATGCTAAAAAGGATAGCCTCTGGTGTCAGTGTAAGGGCTTGCCTATAGACAGAAGGTCCTCTGAAGAAAAATCAGTAACATTTGCTATGGATTAAAGTACACTGGAAAAATTACTCTTGTTCTAGAGCAAGAATATCCATATAGGAAATTATTCTG